CGTCGTACGTCCGTCCGTCGTCGTCGTCGTCGTCTCTCTCTCTCTCTCTCTCTCTCTCTCTCTCTCTCTCTCTCTCTCTCTCTCTCTCTCTCTCTCTCTCTCTCTCTCTCTCTCTCTCTCTCTCTCTCTCTCTCTTCCAACGACACTGTTTACTCGTACGAATTTGTCCAAGTATTTTGGCGAAAACTAATTTCCCCGAAGTAAAATCCGCTGGCGGATTTTGTGTATAATGATGGAGACTGCGATCGAATCGATGAAACAACGCACGAGCGGGGGAGAGAGGACGGTCGAAAACGAAAGTTCGTCACACGCGAAAGTTAAACCGGTCGATCGATTCCCCGACCGCAAGTTACGAGACTCGTTTAATTCCGCCGACGAAAACGCTCGTCTGGATCTGCCGTTTCGCGAATAATTAAGCATTTATTGAAAATTGAAGAGAATTGCATAATGTTAAGAGCAGAAAAAATTGATTATTAAATCGCAAAGAGATTTCCAGATTGCAGAACCATAACGTACGTTTAAAAGTCTTCGATTCAACATATAAAGAGAGCTTTTCGATTTGAATAAAGAAGCTTGCTTTCAATAATCCAAAATTATATCTTGAACATTGATTTTCTGCAACTTTGTGATCCACTCTTTTTTTCAATTGAGAACGAAAGACGATTAAGATTTAAGACAATATTGCAGAATATACATTCTTCCAAACAGCTCGATTGTTGCATTCCTTGCTTTGAGACGACGACTCGGATTCCGCCAGCGACTGTATCGCGAGACATGAGAGGAGTGCGGAGCTCTGTTAAAGCAAGTAAATTGCGGAATGACAGCCTTCGACATTTTTCGCTCCGTTTCGATCGAAAGGGCTAGCGACCGCCGCTTTCGCGACGCGCGCAGTTGCGACAGACCGTGCAATATTTTGCACGCTAATGCACGCAAATGGAGCTGTTTTTTTTTTTTTTTTTTTCGGTTGCACCACGTTGTACTTTCTATATTGAAAATGAAACGAGTATAGTACAGTCACGCATTGCGGGGAAAGAAATACAAAAGGAGAAAACGGAAGAAAGTCAATTAAACTGCCGCTGAAAGAAATGGATTTCTTTTCGACATTTTCAAGCGAATTTCAGATCGATACACGACTGAAACGAGAAGCACTGATAAGTTGGCGCGTTGCGTGATGGCGGTTGCATTTGTCGGATCGCGTGTCAGAGGAATGTCTTTCTTTTGCTCCGCAAAGTAGAAATCGTGATTTTCGAGCGAGGACATACGCCAATTGCCGCATCAAGAACTCGTTCCCTATGCAATGACGATTCGACGAATTCAAAAGGAGGAGTTAAATTCAGGAGTGTTCACAAAGATATAAATCGCGATTTCACGGATGTCTTTTAACAGATATTTCATGATATCATTCAATTAAAAAAAAAAAAAAAAAACAAAATTTTTCGCATTCGTCAAATCACCTGCCGTTACTTTTAGGCGCAGCCGTTGGAAACTGTCTTCACTGAGGAGAAAACCGAGTCCGCTTTTTGCTCAGCAAGATCACGCACGCACGATGCCTCCTCGATATGTCGACCGGATTTGCGTCATCACAGGCAGATTCAGGCATACACGGTGGGTGAACTAATCGGAGAATCGATGAGCAAGCATTGTGGCGAAAGAGAGCGCGCGTAATGGTATGTTGTGCGTGATTATGCCATGGGTCAACGCAAGAGACAAACCAAGAGAGACCAAGTAAGCGCTTTGAAAAGATTACCTTTAAGATTCACCGTCCGCGCAGGCGGAACGGTACTCGCAAGTACTCGCACTACGCGCTACTACTTGTCTACCTGACAGGCTGCGAAATAAAATGCAATATTGGGCTTCGCATGTAAAACGTCGGATCTCGGAAGTTTTAATCTTACTCGAGCTCGGCGAAGTAAATGTCTAATCGCGACAATGACAAATATCGCATATCGCGCACGTAAAGATATGACACAAGAGCTCTACAAAGCGTGCTAAAAAAAAAAAAAATCTTTCAGTCGAAGTTATATATAGAAATTTTCAGGAGAGGAGAAAATTCGCAAATTTTCCCCGAGATATTACCGTACGATTTTAAAGCAGAGTAGGCTTTATTTGCTCTCCGGTATAACACTCGGTGGACTATTTTTAAACTGCTTATTTACGTAAACTTACACACCACCGCGCGCATTTACCGCTACCGGAGCTACTCTCTCACTCATTCTCTCTCTCTCTTTCTTTCGAGATGGTTTACCGAAAATCTTGGTGGGGAATTGTCGGGGCAATCGCACGTTGTGATTTATTTCCTCGAGTAAACGAGACTGAGATGAGTGTCTCGTTCGCGATAAGCAGTCGTCGAATGGATAAATTTTTCCACTGTTCTCCGCCCTGCGAGATTAGCTAGCGAACATCTGAACATTCCGATGATAGAGCTTTGCGCGTGAGCGATTCGCGATAAATCACACGCTTTGACAATCGCATCTATTTGTCGGCGAAACGCGCGATATATTTCTCAAACGCATCGCCGCTGCCGTTTAGAGGGAAGAAAAATTTCAGGTAAAACTTTCCAGAAATTCCAGGGATCTTGCCTTGTAACGGATATACTGCTTTGTAACGGCTGTCCGATTAAGGATGGAGAATCGATTAGAAACATGTGATATCGCAAAGCTGAGAACCGCTGCACCGCCGAGATGAGTGCGGCAGCGTACGCCGCGCGGTCAGTGTCAGAGCCTGGAACGCATTCCGACGGCAATCTAAAAATTCGCGTTCCCGCAGAAGAGACGATTGAACGAACACATGCTCGATTCAACAACAAGATATATTTCGGCCGGTGTAGCTTTTCTAAAATTAGCGAATTTCACATTGGGGGGACTGAAAGAGAAAGAGAGAGAGAGCAACGTGCGCGGTCACTAATCAGCGACTCTATTTATTAGCGATTAAAGCTATTGAAAAACATTACTCACTCCGTGCGACTGCCTGACGAAGCTGCGTTGGTTATTTCGGTCGTCAGCCATTGCACCTTTTCCTGAAATCAGTCAACATACACTGTAGCGGTTTAACGACAATCTTAAAAGATAAAAAATTGAGATTTTTTAATCAAAATATTGTAGTTTTAGTTTCACGAAATATATATATATGTGTTTGTCTTGGATGTTATTTACGGCGAACGCTACATCCAATTCAATCAGCAAATTACATTACTGATACGTTCTTCTACCTAATAGTATTTTTATGCATTTGTACTACGCGTAATGAAAATAGAATATCATGATTTATTATTTGAGGAGGCAATCTGAAGTTTTAGATCAAGAAGTAAACAATTTTTATCGTTGAACAGCTTTAATGCGATAAAAATGTGAGTGTGCGGAAGAGAAGGAGGGAGGGAGGGAAAAGAATTGATCGACATAACAGATAAAAAAATCTGTTAATTCGCTGATCATAAATAAAAGACACGATCCGATGATATTGATTTTATCAAACTGTTCAAGCAAGTTAAAAGTTCGTGCACAAAATCGTGCAAAAAGAAATTTGTATAAAATTCTCTTTTCTTTAGGCACGGCAAATTTAATTTTCATAAAATTGATTAATTCTTCCTCTTCTCCGCCAGCGATAGAGATTGAGACTAGTCGACTGCTTCTGACCTCGCATAATTGAGAATCGTCGCTAGCAGTAGTCTTACTTGAACGACATCTTGGCATCCGTTGAATTAACGTCATTAAACGAATTGACGTGGTTTCACGCGAGAAACGAAAAGCATCGCAGACACGACGCACACACGTACAAAGTGTGTATGTGTAGTCAGCAGCCATCGAAAGCTATCCCGCTCGGGTATTCCTACCACTTTCCAAAAGCATTTACTGCATTCTTTATTTTTTAATTTTTGTTTTCGGATGTTAGATGGAGATTGGCGCCCTCCTTTTCTCTAATCTCCATCTAAAGCCCAACGTATAATGAAAAAAACATTAGGAATAAATATTTAATCTTAGCAAGAACAATTTTGGAATTATTTCACTTCAAACAAGGAAACGGAATGAATTATTTTCAATTCTTATTTCCTAATTCACGATGCGTTAATCCATTTTATTTTCTTGTTTTGAAATAAAATAATTTCAATTTCCTATTCCTAATATTTTCTTGATATTTTGTACGTTGAGCCTAACATTCAAGAAAAAATGGAAAAATTAAGAATGCAGTAAGTGATTTTGTAAAGTTATGAGGCATCCAACTTTCTAACGATGCTCCTGATTGTACATTGGCAGATGTTTTTGTAGACCAGGGAAATATCGTTGAGAAGTATTTCCATTTTCATAGAAATGACCGGCGCTGAATAAATACGGATAAATACGTCGGGTTGAGCGAGTTTATCTCCAATTTTGAAAGAAAAAAAAACAAGCCGCACCTACCCAGCGATAATTTCGATCGATGCAAATGTGCTACGATCCGGCGGAAAAGTTGGCTTTAAACGATATGATTATGAAAATATCGACCTTCTTCGATGCTATCTCGAAGCGGAAGCGGAAATGAGCTTTGCTACAAAAAAGCTTTCGGTTAACTTAATCGCTCGACGAGATATTTTATTTCACGTCAGGTGTTTTTGAAATCAAATAAGAAATATCTCGCGAACTATGTACTCTACAACCAACTGATAACAGCTAAATACCAAGGTAAACATCAACGTGCAAAATTGTTGAGCGTTTTCAGCTTTCTTCCTCGTGGCTTTATTGCGAAAAATGCGACGTAGCTTTTTGAAAATTGCATTTGTACATAATAATCGTGACACGCCGCGTTGCGCACGTGCCTTCGATGCATTTCACGTATGCACCACACGTGTAGGTACATGCGACGCGATCTTGGCCGTTCCGTTTCTCATCGCGAGGCGATATCCATCTTATCATAAACTACTTCCGATAAACAATCGTCGACGCGCGCGCACAATCGCCTTTATGAAAATTAGATCGAACGAGGTACACTTTCGCATTATCTGCTTTTCCCGACTTCGACCGCAGAATGGAAATCATTGTTTCACGATAGCAATAATTGCGACTCATACATACACATATTCGCAACTCTCGCTGTATCATGCGCGAAACTTTGACACGTTTTCCAAATTCTATTCGCAAAACTCGATTGAAACACAGTTATGATAGTTGCATATAAAATTGATAGACAAAGAACAACGCTTTATGTCCAGTTCCACCAACGTAGATTAACTTTAATCCCGGTTCAACTTACTCTTTACCTTTTTCTAATTCTTAGAACTAGAAAAAGATGAAGAATAAGTTGAACCGAGATTAAAGTTAATCCACGTTGGTGGAACTGAGCATTAGTGGTACAAGTGTAGCCTTTAGTCCTGAGAAATATCAGGATTCTTTTTATACAAGCGTCTAATACGTTTCAGGAAAATACTTACGAATGCCGAGAGACCGCACTTCTTAAAAAGACTACCGAAATTGTTAACGCGCGAAGAGAAGAATATCGGATTCATCGGGGGATCGCGACACTTTGCGGAAGCGCAAAGAACGAAATTGCTAACAGCACGCGTTTTCCGAATACTCGAGCGAAATCGCGGACTCGCGTACGCTCGTATTTGCGAGTACAGGTTGATGCAAGCGTAAGCAAGAACGGAGAAAAGGACACGATGCAGCGGCGGAGATAAGGACTACGGCCATGAAAAGAAGGCGAACGGAAGAGTGAAGGAAAAGGTGGACGGGAAGCGAAATTGGAGCAAATCGTTCCTGCTGACAATGAGTATCGCGATGGCCTTTATGTGTATGCAACATACCTCGCACAGAAAATATCGCGGAGTGTTTGCAGCCGTTCGCAGCGCCTCCGCTGTCTCACGAAGACGCGAAGCGCCTCTTCTCATCCGCGTCCGACGTTGCGTCGAGGATTCGACGTGGCTTCGTTCGTCCAGAACCCTTCGCTTGCCCGACGACGATCGCAACGGCGACGATCCGCCGTTCCGGGATGCATTATAGCTTTCTCTTTCTTCCTCTCTCTCTCTCGCTCCCTCTCTCGCGCGCGCGTTCTAGGTCCTTTTCTGTTCCTTTCTGACACGAAGCAGCTCAACTTTGCGACACTGGGGATACGTACATGACACAGCCACCGGGCCGGGTTGTATGCCAGCGGGCCACGATCTAAGGCCGCACGTCGCTATAACGATCGCGGACGCGGAACTGCGAGTAACGCACTATCTCGTGTCCGAGTTGCAATGACGGCACCATATTGCTAACATGGCCAACCTCGCTCTGCTTCGAAACCGAGAGGCCGCTCTCACTACCGCTCAAGCTGAAGACCGCAGCGCGGCCGCTCGCTTCCCAACGGATAAAGAGAATCGATGAATTCGACTGTCGGTTGCTGTCGATATGCCAAACAGACTCGTCCCGCCATCTGCCGGCGAAGACAGCACATTCGTTATTGAAGTCGTTGGAACACATTGCGTCGATAACACACCACTGTTTCGAATCGCTTCTATTTCACATTGTGACCTGACGAAACTGATCTAATTAATAAATAATCTTAATAATATTAATTAATTAATAGTTATTATCTAATATTAATTAATCTAGAAAAGTGAATAACGACACTATAACAATATAATTGACATAACATTGACGTGTTTAAAATGTTTGAACGAGAAATGCTTGAAAAATTATTACCCCATTTTGCTAAGACGTTGCTATGTCATGAAAATGTTAATTAAACTTAATTAAATATTTAATTAAAATTTTTAGATTAGGAAATGTCTGAAAATGCTGTTTTTCTTTCAGTTTAGGTCTCAATTTGCATTCTGAGTACAGTTTTAATTATATCAGTGATTCAGAATTGTTCAAAATGACAAGATTGAGATTAAATGTTTAGTAAAAAGAAAAAAACTATAACAATTTTGTTTTATAATTTTACAATTTTAAAGCAAAAAGAAGGAAATAATATGCAAATTTCGCCATTATTCACTGATCTATTTATATATTATTCATTTATATATTTTATACAAGTGTGCGTTGTGTTATCAGTTATGTAATAACAAAATTGATTCGCTCGTAGTTAAAATCCGTTTATTTCGATTTGCATCGCTTCCACAAAAAAATGTACGCCAAGAAATGGAAAACGACGTATATGACGGCCATAAGGACGATGTCGGGCCAAAAATTGCGCTCGTCAAAGTCGTAACGGTCCAAAACTTGAGTGCCTTCGATAAGACAAGGTAGCTCCGACTCGGTCGTTTCGCAGGCTATTTGTACAGAAAAGGAATTCGTTTGTTTCTCTCGTGTATTTCATAGAACAAATGCTTTGTTCGGTGTAACTCACATATGTTATGCACGCCTCTCCATTGAATAATCGTAAGAGTTTCCGTCGAGTGTAGCAGCCAAGAGAAGTATCTTACCCATTGGACGTATATAGGCAATGTGCTGTATAACAAGTATAAAAAAGAAAATAAAAAAGTTTTGTTATATATGTAAAATCACGCAGAAGAAGAATTTAAATGAGCGAGAATAACATTTTAAGAGAAAAAAACAGAGCGATACGATAACAGTTGGATGACTAAATCATTTATAATCGCTATAAATACCTGAGTTTAATGAAAGGTCCCATAGTTATCATGAGAATATAATCGAAAGGTACCAAGTAGGCCATCGCTAGCGGCACGTTCTCGTAAACGGCTGAGAAGAAACAGACCTAAAAAAAAAAAAAAAAAAATTACCACAAACAAAAATCCGCATAATATTATCAGAATTAATTGCAAACTCACCGCAAGCGGTGGATACGTTCATCGTTAATATTACTATCAACATGGTGAAGCCGAGAGCGTCAATTGCCGGGCGCAATCCCGCCAGCCAATATATTATAACGGTGAATAGCACCGGCTCCATCAGCAGACCAGGTATCTAAAAAAGTTTCGACTCTCTCGCGAATTCCGATCGATCGAGCAAGCGATTAGAGGCGCGCATAATGAGGCGTTGAACTCACCAGCGATATCATGCGCGCTGTGTAGTAAAGATGAACCGAGTACATGCCCGCTTTATATTCCCGAAGAAGCAGCGGCAGCTCTTGCGGGATCAACGCTAAGGTCGCGTACATCGGGAAGAAGGTGTTCTCGCACACCAGAAGATATATAACACCCTCGACGGCCTGAATGCCCAATTGATCCAAATTCACGGCACCGACGAAACACAAGCCGGCGGCTGTAGCGACGCTCTACAAAATGTCACTCGTCGTTCATTTTTCGTGAAATTGCGGAAATAAACGTTTACGTCCGGCAACCGCGAATAATAATTAAATTACATGACATTCTTTTACGGCTTTGCACTTGTGGCCTAATTTCTCACGAGCGGATGTTTGAAAATTCTTCGGTTAATTGTAAAATCTGAAAATCTAGTCTTCTACGGTTTACGCACCACTTTCTGCAATATCCTGATAAATTGCACGGTAGGATCTCGCAGAACTTGCAAGAATCCGCGATGGATAAGCCAGTATAACCGCAGCCACCAGTGCGGTTCCTTGCTGAATCAGATCGCACAAATAGTGTAATTGAATAATTAAGTAATAATTTTTTTCCGACGGACTTTATCGATACATACAGTTCGATTGCAATTTTTCGCAAATATTTTTGCAAAGAAAATACTCACAAGACTGGTGATTCATTCCCTTCTGACTGAAAGAAATAATTGAGTAATAAAATTTGATTGATTAAGCCATTTATTTTCACATAATAATTTTACTTACGGCGCCCTGCAGACGAGCGGTGTCGAGCTCCTGTTGCAATATAACATCGATCTCGTTGCACGCCTCGCTCGTGAGGAACGCATCGCAGATCTTCTGCGCGCTTCTTCCGCTTCCGTCCGCATCGCCGGGCGCGATCGCTAGAGTCGTCACGAAGAAATCAGCCGGATTATAATTGCGTGGACATTCGTAGCCTTGGCTAGAAATAACAATGACAATTCCCATACAGCACAAAACATTGCAGCAACATTGCGGCAATATTGCAATGTTCTTGCAATGTTGCTAGAATGTTGCAATATTGCCGCAATGTTGCTGCAATATTCTGTGCTGTATGGGTTATAATCATATTTTATCTTAACATATTGTATAGAACTTTTTAGAGAAGACAAGATTTGTTTTTTTTTAGAAGAGAATACGAGTAAATGATATCACAAGAATATTTATCCTAAACCGAAACTAATTGTCCAAGCAAAATGTTGACAAATTTGATCAACATTTGATCAACATTGCTAATATCTGGCTATCAGAACGCTTTTTCAGTTCTGTTAAAATCAAGTGGTAGAATTGCCTGGAGAAAAATCGTCGTGCTTGCGTGCTGGTGCCAGCGAACGCTATTCTACCGCCTGCCAGAAGGATTATACGATGGAAGCTATCGAAGATGGTGGAACTTGGCTGATGTATGGTGCACAAGATCGTGCGACTTCTCGACGCGAAAGACGTCATGTGCGATACGAGGACTCCGGCGGAGTGAGCGTCTTGTCCTGTCGTCGGCTCGTCCAGGAACAGTATTTCAGGATCCGTCAATAGCTGGAGGAAAAGAAGGAAGGAATTAGCATCGCGCGAAGCAAGAGAGACTGGAATAACGTGCGAATACGCACCTCGGTGGCGAAGGCTAGCCTCTTCTTTTCTCCGCCCGACAGGACCTTGTTGTCGTCGGTGCCGCCGATGCGAGTGTCGCGTCTCTCGATTAAACCGATCTCCCTCAGCAAGCGATCGATCTTGAGCCGAACATCGGAGGTGCGGATTCGTCCGTCTAATTTCATTCTCGCCTGATGAGGATTACCGAAGCGTAATACGTATTCCGTTCGCCGTCAACTAGATGAAACTCACCATAAACCAAATATGTTCGCGCACCGTCATCGTCTCAATGAACATGTCGTCCTGGTGCATGAAACCGCTGTGACGTCTCATGTATGAGGAAGTGATCGACACGCCGTTGACGCGAACATCGCCGTGCACTACAACGCCGGCTGTCAGGCAAGAATCGATCATCTCTTATTTTTTTTCGATGATACAATTACGAAATAACGCTACTTACATCCTGTGCGCAATGCCAATGCCGTCATCAGCGAGCTTTTCCCAGCGCCGCTATGAAAGAGAGCAGCGTCACGAGAGGGAGATGACGATACGTGAACAATGGAATTATAAATATTGACTGTATGCGAGTTGTTTCACATTGTATAACTGATTGTAAATCATTTACCTGCCTCCTAGGATTGCGGTGAGTTCGCCAGGTCGCACCACACCTCGCACTATAAAAACAATAATCGAGTGTAAGTTTGTCACCGTGCCAGCTTTCGTATTTACGTGCGCGAGATAATGCATTGTATTAAGTACTATTATTGATGAGCTGCTTGCTTATGGTGCGCCGGTTCCGGTCCATCGCGTAAACGGACAAATTTTGCCAAGAAAGCATCGTGCCTTTTGCACGATCTTGTCGCGGCGGCACGTCGAATCCGGACGTCGACAGCATTTTCACACTATTTGACACTGTCCGACGTAGAATATGATGTAACACCAGGTTTTCTTTCTTTCGAACAAGTTTCTCTCGCGCTGTTCTCTCGCGGTGGTAGCAGAAGCGACCTCGAAACGCAATCGCGGATTACGTGATATCGCAGATAAGAGCGTAATAGCGAAAGTATTCGCCCGGAGTGCAGTTCGACCGCTGCCCGAAGAATGAGAAACCGACGACAAGGCGTGACGAGGTGCCTCGTCGAGATTGGCGCTAAAAATGCGCGATTCTCGCAGCACGCGCGTAACGCTCTACCACCACTCGATGCGCTTGGTCCGCCCGCTGCTTTTTGTAACTTTCTTTGCAATTGAATATCATGCGCGAAAATCATGAATGTAAATAGCAGAGGCGGAAACTCATCAAAATTTATCGATCGCAAAAGTCGGTGATGTACAGATTTTCTGGATACAATGCAGATTGTTGCGCATCGTCGATGCAATGATCTTCGGCAAATATTGCTGCTAATTTTCGAAATGCAACATCATCGTGATTGTCGCGGAGATAATTAACACCCGAGATTACGTATGTGACGATATGATTTGAGAGATGCGTCGTATGCGCAAATGTCGTGTGCAACGATCGAGCTCCGTAATTCGACACTGCTAACGAATCGATAGATTATTCACCGAGGGCTTTCTCTCCTTCTTCAGAAAAATGCCCTCTTCGTTACAGTCACCATTCGTGACACGAACCTCACGGTAACTGTAAACCGAAACCCTATCTACGCCGAGACAGACGAGCGACCAGTTCAGGCCGACGTTATTTCGTTATCGGGATTATCGTTCGTTGCTTTTAACGATCCTGGAATAGCGATTAAATTTGCGGACCGCAAACAACCTTATTTTGCTCACTCATTGAATCCCTTATCCAAATATCTATATAGAAATGCCTTTGGAACTCGAAAACTTGCTTTTCGAAATTTGAATCGGTTTCACACGCCTCATGTTTTTGCAATTATTTATTTAAGGTATTCTTTCGATGCTTTGATGATTTTTCGGAGATGCATCGTATCGATCTGATTTTTTTTCTCCAGAATCTCCCAGGATTTGTTTTTTACATCGCACTTTATGTCGTACATGCGGTCACACGGTATGTATGGCAACCGGTTTGTAATAATATCTAGATGCGAACGAAAGAGTGGTCAAGCCCGATACAGGAAATACGGTAGGACACGTAGGTGCGCGTTGTTGTTTCGCCGAGGCACATTTTTCCGAGTTTCTGTTACGTCGCCTTTTTGCGGTCAGTGCGCGTCAACACGGATACCTTCAATGAGACTCATAAATCACATACTCGACAAATTTTACAAATTATTTATTTATACACTACATTTATATAACAATTACGTTACATACAATAATAACAGACCTGCAATCATTTTCGCAAACCGCGTCTTTATCCACGAGACATGACGAAGACGCTATTTGGGTTTGAAACGGCAAGTTTTCGACAGCAACGCGAGCAACGCCAGGAAACGAAATATGAGGATAAGCGCGAACAAGCAGAGGATGTCCATCCAGAAGTTCGCTTCTTTGAAGTTATAAGTTTGGAGTACCGTGTGTCCCGATTTCGGACACGTCACGTTGCTTCTCGTGCACGCTATGAAGTCGATCTCCGACCATTGGTTGATCAAAAGTGCCTCGTTGCCGTAACGAAACCAGGATAAATACGAGAACCACACAAAGTAGGACGGCACAGATCTGTCGCAAGAAAAAAAAAAAGAAATTTTATCTCGAGCATTTTTTTAACCAACAGTCTATTGTACTCACGCTGTGTTCAGGAAGAAACCGCCGAAAAGCAAGAACGGTATTATGACCGGCGGACCGACGGAAAGCGCCATAGACACGCTGCTGCTGATGCACGATATCAGATAACCTGCGAGAAACAAAGTTAGGCGGACTTTTGAGAAACGATCGCAAGCATTTTTATGAATTGTCTTACCGAATGAAGTCGCTACATTTGCTACGAGAGCCACCACGCCAGTGGCGATGAAAAAATGCTTCACGTCGGGATGCAAGCCAATCATTGGGTAGACAATAGCGGTGAAGATGAACGGTATCGCCAGGAATATCGGCGCTTCCGCTAGCGTCTTGCAGATGAAGTAGACATCGGTGCGATACATGCCATTTCTCTGCTCGCGAAGAAATATCGGCAGTTCGGCGCAAAACACCTGTGCACAAATACAAGCGTGTTTCATTTTTACCCGAAATGTAGACGCGCGTATTTCCGATCATTTTTAAGATTGCCATAAAGCCCGTTGTGCGGCTTAATCGATTTATGATTCATGCGTTGCGTTTTAATCTCACGTTGATGACCGCGAAGACATTCTGGAAAGTCATGTTGGTGAGGAAGATGAAAAGGGCGCCGTTGATATTCATCACGCCATCCTGATCCATCCGTTGACCGAAATAAATGACGCCGATCAATAGTGAGACCATCTACGGTAGAAAATTGCAATTCGTTCGCTCTCGTTCATTCAATTCGTGTCTTCCTTCCTTCTCTCTCTAAGTGCTTAGGACTTGCAACGCAAAAAAGAATTTACAAATAACTTGAAATTGAAATATACATTTTTTTATGAATTTTAGTTTTGATTCTTTGCTTTTATTTTCTTTTCATTTATTTAAATTAAATTAATTTCTTTAATGAAGCAAATAGAGCGGAAGGAAGGAATCTTTTTTTATCTTTTTGAGTCACACGTAAAAAAATCGAATGTTATCTTAAAAACCAAAGATCATCATGAAGCTTGTGTTTGTTATTGGAAGAAAACGCACGATAGTTTGCAAGAGGCGGACTTTAATGATGAGAGGTTCCTTTATCACCGACAACCAGGATCGCCACAGAACGGCGCGGAATTGCTCGCACCAACTCGCTTTGTAAGGAGATCGATCGGAATCCTTAGAGTGCTTGAGCTGTTTGAGGGCATCCTCGAATTCGCCGTGGATCTCGGTTTCCAGGGCGATTTTCAGGCCGTATTCGCTTCTCCGGAAGGTATCGCACGCCGTTTTGATCGCGTATCTGCTGGCCAACTCGCGCCCCGGCATCACGGCCAACACTTGTATAAAATAATCAGCAGGATTGTAATTGCTGGGACAGGCGGCGCCGAGTCTGAATGAGACAACACGTTGTAAGCGATGCTGGCAAAATCTCCATCCACATTCGAAGATTTTATATTTTTATAGATAGATACATGTGCGAAAAAAATATACTACCCAGTAAGTGAAATGTTAGCAATGTTGACGGATCGACAGCAAATTTAATCAAATTTGTCAATTTTCTTTTTAAAATAATATTCCTTTTTTTATGTGTCATTCAAAATGATAAGAAGGGTTCCTTTTTTCTGCTTTATTTGCTTCGTTAAAAAATTAATAAATAAAAAGAAGAACAAACAATCCAGATTAAAATTTATTAAAAAATTTGAAATCAACTTGTTGTCAATCAGCTAATATTCGCGTCTTTTTATTTACTTTCTAAGCAGTAGTTATCGTGCCGTGATGTTTTTGTTATTACGCGGATTTGAAAATGAGCTCTTCGATGAAACTTACGTTTTAAAGAAAGAACAGGCTTGCGCAGTCGTACCCATAAAAGCGACTCTTCCCTCGGCCATTAGAAGAATTTTGTCGAACATAGCGAACAGCTCCGACGAAGGTTGATGTAACGTCGCGACGATCGTTTTGCCGCGTGCTGTTTGAATCATTCGAATCGCTGATCCTCCAGTACGACTAACTTTACTCGCAGCTCAAAAACTCTTCATCGATTTCACTTACCCGCCAATGCTTTCAAAATGGAAACAGCTTGATGGGCCATGAAGGAATCCAAGCCCGATGTCGGCTCGTCGCAAAACATGAGCGGTGGATCGGTCAGCACTTCGGAGGCGAAAGACAACCTCTTCATTTCGCCCCCCGAAAGACCTTTCACTCTGCCGGGTATTCCGATCATGGTGTTCCGACATTTTGTCAGAGCGAGCTGCTTTCGAGGAAGACGAGACAAACGGAATGAACGGTGAGAATTTTATCGATCCTCAAGCATTTACCAAAATCGACAACCGACGATACAAGACGTATAATTGCGACGAGTACCGCGATCGAATTATACCTCGTCGATGACCTCGTTGACACGCTTGATCCTCTGGCTGCGAGATATTTGCCGATCCATTCGCACTGTCGCCTGAAACATCAGGTGCTCCGTCACGGTGAGCGTGCCGATGAACAGATCGTCCTGCTGCACGTAAGCCATCCGCGACGTGAGGACGCCCGACGATACCCGTCGACCGTTGGCGGCCATCAGACCGGACACGGATACACCACGTGCCGAACGGAACGTCAGGGCGTTCAACAAGGTCGTCTTGCCCGCGCCTGACGCACCCATGATTACCAACAGCTCGCCGGGATACGCTACTCCGCACACTGAAATACGCAGTTATTGCGAAATGCGACAAAAGCTCCTGAATTTTGCATAAAAATTCGCATTTTTTTTTTAATTTCTTTTCGCTCTTTACCATCTTTTAGTATGTGCTTCTGCGCGATGGATCTTCTGGCTTGGAACGTCAATCGATCCCAAATTCTATCGGTTCTCGCGCTGCAGTACACGTTTACGTCGCTCCATGTGTATGTAATTTTATTGTCGGAAATTTTGTCATTGAAATTTGCACCCGCATGCGCGCTCGAAATCGGTCTCAAGCTAAACGAGGTCTCCGGACTTCCGCCGTGGGACGTACTTCCTTCCTACAACGATCGCGTCAACGAACACACAGCGCACTTTTAATTTTTCTTCTTATTTAATACATATTTTTCGTGATTTTATACATATATCGCAAAATTATTTTAAGCAAAGTTTCTACGATCAATTTAAAAATTTTGCAGAGTAAAAAAAATGTCGAAAACATGACTCATCGCTTATCACATTTTTCTAATTCAACTTTAAGTAAAAAAATTAAATCAAATAAAAATTATACATATCAAAATCTACTTTGGCATGAAAATAAAAATGTATAAAACAAATACGCATAAAAGAAATGTGCTACGTTTCAGCTGAAAAGTGATTTTGATTTAACTTATTAATAGCACAAGACTGCAGTGTCAATTCGTCGCCGCATTTCCATACAGAAAAAATAAAGTTTCCGGAAATTATGACATAAATTGCTTGTTATACTCACGAAGGAAATCGTGTGATAAGTGAGCCTTTGGGTTTTACTTGCAGAAGAGGTCGGTGTCGTGGAGATCAAAGGCTCCGTTTCCTCGGTAGCAGTCATTTTCTTATTTTATACGCTTTGCCGCACGTCTGTTTTGGCCTTTCCTTCGCGGATGCTCTTCTCGATGCATCGACAGATATATATCGGGATTAAAATACGTACAGCTTTTAATCGCGTAATTATATGTGGAACATATTTTTTTCTTATATTCCGATAATTTTTTTCAAGCGATTGTAAGTGTGAGAACGCAGACTTGAAGATTGATTTTATTTACAACACCGATCCAGATACAGACCTGTTGTGTAAAATTACATAATTCTACTATGCGGGACGCGAATGAGAAAAAATTTCCGAGAGGGGGTGGTTGTGCGAAAAAGAGAGAAAAAAAAACGGCGGGATTATATTTTTGAAATGGTGCAGCACAAAAGACACGTTTCGTAGAACAAGCCCGGCTTTTTTCCCTGCGAAGTCGTGGTATCGCGGATGCCGCGTACACCTGCGTAGAATGCGAGAACGTGCGCGCATGATATAATGCACGTAAGTTGGCCGGAGGAAACGAACGTCCCCTCTCCATTGATTGCCGTTGCACATTTACAGTACTACCTATGCTCTCTGGTGGGGCCTTGCAAATCCATCTCCGTAAAGTTAAAAAGAGTAATATGATTGAAATAAAACTGTCAAGAGACTTCGAGATGTACATACGTGTATTATACGTACATGTATGATATTACGTGTATAAACTTTTGTTCGTCGAGTAATTTAAATATAATACACTAATAAGAGGATCTCTCTCTCTCTCT